CATATACTCAGTTGCAAGGATTATTCTCTATTTCTTCTACCTTTGGGCCAGCACAACAAGTACTATCTAGAGCCAGGGTTATCTGATATGCATATTGTACTATAAACATAAGTCCATAATTCCTAGTTCCACATGTTTAACTAGAGAGTTTGATTCTTGCCACCGTTACCTGTTTCAATGCTGACACATGAAGAGGGGCTTCCTTTAGGACGGGACATCATTTCCCAGGAACTGGCAAATGCCTGAGCTGTTGTCTCCAGTATATTCTGACTTGACAGGAAATCATCTTCTGCACAGCCCTGTACGCTGCACAGCCCTGTACGAACGATGGCGCAAGGCAGAGGTTAGCACAGCACAGAGCTTAGCACAGCACAGAGCTTAGCATGGCACAGAGGTTAGCACCGCACAGAGGTTAGCACAGCATAGAGCCTAGCATGGCACAGAGCTTAGCACAGCACAGAGGTTAGCATGGCACAGAGGTTAGCACGGCACAGAACCTAGCACTCTCCCTTACTCACCCTTCCGGATACATGTCCTCCCTGTGGAGCTGCTCTTAACAAAGTCTTGTAAAAACTATCTCAAAATATGTTTGGTGAATCCTGACACATTAAGTAAAATTTTGTGACATTTCAGATTTCATTCAATGACTGTCACAGAAATTCCGTTTAGGGAAATGTCATTTTCTGTAAGTGCTACTTTCGTTGCTTTGCATGATAACTTTAGAGGAGATGAATCGTGATAAGGACCACGTGCTTTTTTTACTTGGAGCTTTCTTTATTTTTCTTGTTTTTCTTTTCAGTGATATAACTCATTTATTCAGTGGGGGTCAGGGAAAAATATAGGGTGGAGGCGGCAGCCAAATCTTCAGCTGATAGGTGTTCATAGTATGCTTTATTTACATGTGGTAGGGGGATCCCATCATCTGGCTATAGGGCAAGGCCTAACTACCATATAGAAAAAACATGGGGGCAGTTTTTTTGCAGGTAACTGTGCCAAAGGTCATGATCCAAATAAGGCCAGGCATCTGTGCTTGGAGGCACTTTCCAGATAAGGTCATACAGGAAGCCCCCACTGAGAAAGAGTCCTCCATATAGCACCAAGATCCCTAAGCTATGCGGACATGGTGGACTGCAACTTTAGCAGCGGTGTCCCCCAACACGGTGATTTAGCTATTATGATCTTTTTTCTCTTTTTTTGATTATTTATTTAATAACCACATAATTAGAAAAAGTATTTCATTACAACAGCATTGACATATTCAATAACAATTTCCAGAGCTAAGATGCATCTTTTTCAAAATTGGCTGTAATTTTTAGGTTTACAGTTGAATGAATACAGTTATACAATATTGTACTCAGTATAAACCCTGTAAGACATGAAATTAGCTGGGCGTCGTGACACACACCTTTAATCCCAGCACTCGGGAGGCAGAGACAGGTGGATCTCTGAGC